CTAGCATGGCCTGCCTGTTCAAGGCTGGTAGGCACTGGGAGAAATTTTATTTATTAGAAAAAGGGGTATTTAATTCCTTCAATGAAAAAGCTACCACTTTGAGCTTAATCGAACATGTATTTAAGAGTTTTTGTGTTAAAAATAAGCACTAAAAAGTAGGTTTTCCAAACAATATTATCATAGTTTTAAAAGCATGATTTTAAAGCACTACATTTTAAGAAGTTACTTTTAAATGAACTTTTATAAAAGTACAAGCTTAATCAAATGAGGCCTAAACCTAGAAAAGACTTTTTATGATAGTGCAATTGTTGTATCTCATCAAAACTAAAAATCAGGGCATCATCAAATTAGATGACTAAGAACTTTCCAATTGAGGGTGTAATAATAGTATTTATAAGTGACATGTAGTGCTAGAAGCATTAGTTGGCCCGAAGTATTAGTGACATGTATTGCTAGAAGCATGTTGTGCTCGAAGAACTTTCCACTCGTAATGTTCATTAGGTGTTTTGAATGGTGTTTTTCTTTTATCTCCAATTTGGATCATAATTTGATCATATCCATTCTTTTAGTTCAATTGTGGTGAAATATTTAACACTTCTGTAATCAAGCATGTCATTAATTTATTTTTTATGGTAATCTTGTTTATTTTTTCTAATTTTAATGTGCACTCTCTTAGGACCTCTTTTTTTAGGTGTTAATAAAGGGACTGCATAAGGACTCGAACTCTTTTTTATTAAACTTTTCACAAGCAAGTCATTGACTTGTCTGCTTAAGTTATAATGCACCATAGGATTCATTTTATAATGGGTTAATTTTTTTTTGAGATCCTAGCATGAAATTACTAGCATGTTGAATTTCGCACGTGGGTGTGCAAATGTTATGCAGCTTTCTTTGGAGCACATCACTAAATTCAAAGAATAAGTTAGATATCACGTTAGGTTTGTGAATCTTTAGGAATATAAGAAGAAAACTCTTTCACTTGAAATTTTGAAAGTAGTAGGGGTGCTATAGAGGTTAGAAATGGCCTCCATAGTAAAACAATTAACTGTAGTTTGCAGACTTAGGTGAAGAAGATTTCGGCTGTGCATCAGAAGTGGACTTGTGTGGAGGTGGGGGCAAGGGCTTGCTCACGGTTTTTGCAAGAAAATGTTTTATAGCCTTATCCTTAAGTTTAAGCAAATGAATTTTTTCATGATTATAATATATAAATTTCATGTCATAAAATTAAATGTCTTCCTAGGAAGATGTCACCAATGTCCATAGGCTAACATCACATCAAAGTGTTCAATATTGATATTCAACACCTCATCCTCTAAGGATGATTAAGAAACTTTGGATCTTGCACATATTTTGCATATGGCTTTTTCTTTTCTTTTTTTGTCATTTGAAGTATATAACTTTCTTGGAAAAGTTAGTAGTACCCTCAATAGTGGTTTTAGTCGAATGATTATTGCCAATTAATGGAGAATGTTTAGCAATAGACCAATGGTTGGGTTGATACAATGGTTGAGCCTTAGGCTTAAGCAAAAGCCTTTCTATTAGATGGGAAGAATGGAATACTTTCCTAATAACTGTATATCTAAAAACTTTAGTGAATTTTTTTAATTTCTCATCTCGAGTTGTTAACAGACATCATTGTGAATTAGCAATTATTATCAGTCTTTGTTTTTCTAATATTTACTTTACCTATGGGTCACTGGTTGACCATGAAATCTCATCATTTCTTTTTGGATAATATTTTGTTTTTAGCATTTTCTTTAGTTCTAACCAAGTAAGAGTCTACGTAGGCTCTCTTCTTTAGCTAATAATGTTGGTCCAATAATACTTGCATATCTTATCAATTTCATTTTGACAATTTAGATCCCTTTATCATGTTCAAACTGACACCAATTAAAGAAGTATTTTATTTGTGAAAGCTAATCCAATAATTTGTTTGGGTCTTGAAATCCTTCAAAAATACGGGCCTCAACTTTAACTTTTCTATTTGAATCATTAAAGCCATCAATTTTCCTATTTTTTGTATCAACTTCTAACCAAATGTCTTAAAAGATGTGTTCTCCTAAGAGGATGTTCAAGAGGTTTATCAATATGACCTAGTTATTGGCTCATCTATAATATGTGAGTGTGCAAGAGGTTGTGGAGTGGCAGAATATAGCATTTGTTCTCATGTTATGACAACTTATAAGCTTATTTCCTCTAAATGTGTCATCATAGTAAAATCTGGCATTAGTTTTTTGTTGATTTGAAGGAAGTGTCTATCATCTTTGAAAGATGATGATCAGTGGGTTTAATAAAAAATTTGTATATGTGGTTCTATAACAATGTTAATACAGATTTGGGAGTTAAAGATGAAAGTCAAATTTTATATATTAGATGTTGAAACATCCTTCAATGTCCTCAACAAATCATAGATTCGTGAAATTAAATCTTGCATGAAAGAAGATCTCGGGGTATTCTTGTTTTATAAAGTCGGGATCTTCGATGACGTGGCATATTATTTGCCCAAGATACTTGCGAGCACATTCAAACTCTGACGACTTAAATGTGGAACTTATAACTCAACAAAATTTAAAAAAAACTCCTCATTAATTTTAGGAGATAATAGGTACAATTTTAGGCTTATGGTGGCATGTAAATGATGCACTGGTTGAACTTTTTACAAGCTTCTAAAACCTGCCCACCAACAAAACTAGAGTAATTGCGGATATAAGCTAAAAAATAAAACTATCAATTAACTTGCTAACAACAACAACAACAAAACTTTTATCTAAGTGGGGTCGGCTACATGAATCCTTTTCTCCGTTGCGTCCTATTTAGTCTCATATTTTCATTTAATTCTAATAAATTAAAATATTTTCTTACATAATATGCCCAAGTCATCCTAGGTCTACCTCTGCCTTTCTTAACATAAGTCGAATCCAAAGCATCTACTCTGCTAATCGGATCATCAGATGGTCGATGTTTGATGTGACCAAACCAACTAAGACGACTCTCTAGTTTTGTCAGTAACTAGAGCTACACCAACCCTATCACGGATATATTCATTTTGCATTTGTCTCTAACTGTAAAGCCACTCATCCACCTAATTATTCTCATCTCGACAACACTCATTGTCTCTAACGCATTTGTCTCAACCTGTAAAGCCACTCATCCACCTAATTATTCTCATCTCGACAACACTCAACTTAGTTTTTTTGCTTCTCTTTCAAAGGCCAACATTCAGCGCCATATACCATTGCAGGTCTCACCACAATCTTATAAATTTTTTCTTTCAGCCTATGCGGTACTTTTTTATCACACAATAGGCCCAAAGCATTCCTCCACTTCAACCAACCAACTTGAATTCTACCAATAACATCCCCATCAATATCGCCATCGCTTTGAACAATAGACCCTAAATCCTAAACCTTAAACCAACTTGCTAACAGCCAAAGAAAAAAATGACACAATACTGAAAGTAAGCACGTTAACAACAATAAGAGCCCCAAAAGGTGAAGTCTTGATCCGTGTTCCAAAAGCTTCCTTTATGCACAACTTCTCTCCTGCAGAAATGACTCTTAACAGCTGATACCAAATGATGCAATGGATATAATAGTGTTTGAGGTAGAGTTTGACGCTTATTGTTTTATTTGATAGTAGGAGATTTAGAAGAACATATTAGGAATGATTTTAGGGCTTGTGGGCTTTGGGATATAGGGGATTAATGGGTGACTAAGACCTAGAAGGGGATGACCTAGATTCGGTTGTTCTGTTAGCAGATTTTGTTAGGAGCAAAAGTGAAAACTAGGTTTGGAGTTAATAAGAAGTATTGGGACTCTTTGGAAAGGAAAGGATGTTAGGAATAAAGATTTGGAGTTATTTGTCGTGGTTATATGGAGGTGTAATATAGAAAGTGAAGGAAGGTCGGTTCGTTGAGTTTGGATAAATTTTGGTTTGCTTGGTTATTTTGTGATTAACTTGGCATAAGAGTGTGAGAACTCAGGTGCTTCAGAATTCTGAAAGGAGATGTATACAAGGAAATTAAAAAAAAAAAAAAAAACTAGTAAACCTCCCGCCAAAATAATCTAAAATTATCGAATCATAGATAAGGTGAGTTAGCCACCAAGCCTTTCCCAAGGAGGAAGATAAGACTTATCCAAGACATGCTATATAATCTCAATGGATATTCCTTGTAGATTTTATATAGAATATGTCAAATTACAATAAATGCATCTTATAACATCTTTTTGACTTTAAGACTGCGTCATAAAAATTTAAAGGCTTTTAATTTATTCGAGTGAAGTTGTTGTAAACAATGCTCAAGAAGTGTCAAAAGCTGGCTCATTATATTTTTTTTAACTTGGACTTTGGTGACTTAAATAAGTTAGGTGGCAATGATGATGTGGTACTATAAACCTCACTTGGACTATAATTCTAACTCGCAATGCATTTTTTTAAGTTTGCTAGTTTCATGTCACAACTGACATTCTTTTTTAGCTCAAATGAACAATAGCATAGAGAAAATAACAAAATATAATAAAATTTTAAAAATAAATTTCCACTAGCAATCATTGATGCGCTGGCTGTTCTATCCTTCACCTGTATTGCATCATAGTTTCAAATTATTTAATTGTTATGATTTTAATATTTTGCTTGATTATGATTCTATTAGGTCAACTATTAATTAGCGTAATAAGGAAGCATGCTAGGCTATCTAATTAATGCCCTATTTAATATTGGTGTATAATTATTTCTTAAGATGAACAACTAGAATGTGAAGAAACTCGTCGGATGTTATCATCCAGCATAATTTTATTGCTCATCATATCTCAAATTAGCATGGGGAAGAAATGTTAGGCATCATTAGTAAGACTACAATGGACTTTTTAGTTTCCTCATTTGAGCTAGCGTTTTCTTTGTGCTATTTTCATTCATGTGTTTCAGATGTTGGCTGACTTGTGGAGATTGTTACAAACGCCGAACAGATATATGAGAGCATCTTTTTTTATATGTTTATCCAGTTTACATTTAGTAAGATGCAATGATACCAAGATTCATGACATAGCAATATATGGAGATTTCAACACACCAAATAATGATGGGATTGACATTGAGGACTCAAATAATACGATCATAACACGATGCCATATCGACACAGGAGATGATGCCATTTGCCCGAAGTCTTCATCTGGGCCTGTGTACAATTTGAGTGCAACTAATTGTTGGATTCATACAAAATCCTGCGCAATAAAGCTTGGAAGCGCAAGCTGGTTTGATTTTAAGAAGTTCTTGTTTGACAATATCACGATCTTTGAATCGCATAGAGGTCTTGGAATGCAAATTCGTGATGGAGGTATAACTTCTATTGCTATCTTTGTTTTCTTGGGCATGAAATTTCTTAATTATTTCTTGAGATACACCATACATGTAGGACAAGTTACATTGAGGTTCCTGAGGTATATTGAGCAATTTAAGTTAGAAGGGTATTTTAAAATCCCTCTTTCATATTTAAAATGCATTGCATGGATTTTTTATTTATTTATGGTTATCTTGGTATATTGATAATAAAATATTAGAAATACACTTCCCTTTGTTCTACCTCCTCTTTGTAGCGTACTGAAGAAACAACTTGTTCATCTTCAAAGCATATAGATTTATGCAAAGTTGCGCCAACAATTTTATATAGAATAGAATGGAGAAAGATGGTGCTGTCCAGCCAAAATACCTTTTTTTTTCTTTAAAAATATTCGCAGACTCAAATTTAGCCCAACAGGGTCTTACCTAACAAAACAAGCTAACACAATTACATGAAGATTGACATTTAAAATTAGGACCAAATTAATTATTCAGAAGCTGTTAGGGATCAATGTATGATTTTTTTTAGGTATGGAAGTGAAGCGCCCTGCCCTTTACACCTCAAGGATCTACATGTATTAAGCTCTATATTTCGCATCCGGGCTTGGGACCGGCAACGGCAGTGACAAGTTTTACGCTGGCAGTCCTACTAAATTAGTATATTATCTAAAATACATTTGGTGTATCTTGCTCCTTTCACTTGTGTGTAATCACAGCATTTTGAAATATTTTCCACTTCTATGTTATTTCTTCATCTTTTCTCGTATGAAATTTGCAGGAAATGTCAGCAACGTTATCTTCTCAAACATCAAAATAAGCACCAGATACTATGATCCTTTATGGTGGGGAAGAGCAGAGCCAATCTACATCACAACATGCCCGAGAGATTCCACTTCTAAATCTGGTTTCATTTCTGACATTCTCTTTGAAAATATATCTGCGGTTTCAGAAAATGGAGTATTCTTGTCTGGTTCAAGAAATGGAATTTTGAGTAACATAAAATTAAAAAATGTTAATTTGACTTATAGAAGATGGACAAAATATCCTGGTGGATTGTATGATTATAGGCCTGGATGTCAGGATTTGGTTAACCACAGCACCTCAGGGATGATGATGGAGCACATTAATGGCTTGGATCTTACGAATGTAAACCTGAAGTGGTTTAAGAGCAAAACTAAGGAGTGGATTTTTCCTTTGCAATTTAGGGGTGCTGATGTGAATAAATTGTCTTTTCATGATTGGAATTCAGAAATTATTAACATTCCAGAAGTAGTTTTCAAGTAGAATGGTGTCTCAAACGCCATTTTATAAGAGAATTCGGTTGCTGGGCTATTTATGATTTTAATTGATGTATCATTTTGAATTTATGAATATATTTGTCTACCACTATATTATTTATTGTTTTGGATCGAACATTAATCTATGAGCTCTTACAAAAATGTCAGTCTCAGTTGATTCTAACTTGTCGAGAAATGTTTTTTTTTTCTCTTTTTGAGTTTTAAGGATCTGTAAATTTGTTTTAATAATAAAAATATCATAGTGTTGCTTGGTTAAGATCGGATTGGGGTGATCTTTAAATCCAAGGTAGTTACAATGGATTTAATTAGTTTGCTTCAACTTAAGCTTCATCGTATGTAATAATTTTGCTTAGAACTTAAGTTTTTATTGGATTTGGTTTTTTGAATCTGGTAGATCATCGTTTATAGTGTTGCTTAGCTCTAAGAGGGTTAAAAGTTTGACGTTGAATGTATCATCTTTGATATTCTAATAAAAATTTGACGTTGAATGTAATGGGATTTTAGTATTTCCTTCACAAATACCATCATAAAGAAACTATACATGGGTTTTTTTTTGTGTTTTTTTGGTGATTCGCTTAAATCATTAGTTCTGTCTAAATCAACTCCATGCATTCATAGCGATTGCTCCTTTGCCACGCGTTGCTAGCATGTCCAAACACCATATCAGGAATCTTGGCTAGAGTTATATCCACGAACGGAGAAGATGAGAATACTAGCAGGTGAGAGCCCGGCTTTAGTGTGTGATGAAGCTTGTCAAGAAAAATGTTGATGTTTTCTGTTATGTTCATGCCTCATAACGGTATTCACCATCCAATGTTATTTTGTTACATTGCTACCACATTTTCTCTCAACATTTCATCTTGGTTGTTGTATTCAAATTGATTGGTTATGCATTTTTTAAGTTTGATCTGGAATTGATTGACACAGCCTCTGATGTTGGAGTAGCTTATGCTCGTAACTAGTCTAATATCGTCTTCATTAATTTTTTTTAAATGTTGAATTTTTTTTATTGGGTTAACTACATATATAGTACTATGAAATCAAATCTGAATGTTTTTATAGTGCTTGTTGTCCATCTGAATTTAGATTAGTTCTCAGCACATGCGCGGGGCGCGCCAGTACACACCCTATCTAATATGAAGAGTATAGATGCATTTTATGATTTTTGAAATTGTCATTTTGTCTAAAATCAAAGAACATCAATCAGGTGACCTGTATTGTTTTTTTTTTCTTTTTGTCATAGATCGTTCTTATAACATTTAAGTGTCTTAATGATTATGAAATTGTGATATTTGGCTTATTAGTTTCCTCTCGTCATACTAACTTTAGAGTGTATTTTAACCTTCAATTGTCATTTAGAATTTAGATTGAATCAATCTCGTAGTCATTGAATTTAACTTATTAAAATGTTTAGTTTGACTATAAATTTGTTGAGATCGAAGAGATTTTGAATTTAATTCTAGAAATTATTACATCTAAAATTAATTAAGATTTGTGCCTAATCAAGTAAATATTTTTGTGACATATCAATTGTCCTTGTATTTTTTTGATGACGAATTTTGTCATCCAAAAATATATTTTACCCTTCAGAATTTCTGAATCTCAAAATTTTAATTTTAATAATATTATAAATTGTGGTTGCTTTCTGGACATTAACGTGAACCTCCCTTGAAGCTATAAACAACCTAAAGCCTCCTCAGTTATAATTTTACGTTCTCTTGAAGTTGGCATGTTGATCAAAGTAAGTACTATTAAAAAAATTGAGCTCTTCAAATTGCTTATAGATTCTCCACTGAACAGTAGAAGTTACAAAATTAAGTTCAAAATATAAAAAGATGGTGAAATACACATGTTAGGGCCTAGGAATCTGCTCTGATACCACTTGTCACCTCCCAAAAGAGCCCTTAAGGGTGGTGGGCAGCCCAGGACTTAAATACTGCTTTTCGGCCCTACACCTAGCCGATGTGGGACTATTTGTCCGTGACATTATGCTCGTAACTAGTCTAATAATTTGATTGACACAGCCTCTGATGTTGGAGTAGCTTATGCTCGTAACTAGTCTAATATCGTCTTCATTAATTTTTTTTAAATGTTGAATTTTTTTTATTGGGTTAACTACATATATAGTACTATGAAATCAAATCTGAATGTTTTTATAGTGCTTGTTGTCCATCTGAATTTAGATTAGTTCTCAGCACATGCGCGGGGCGCGCCAGTACACACCCTATCTAATATGAAGAGTATAGATGCATTTTATGATTTTTGAAATTGTAATTTTGTCTAAAATCAAAGAACATCAATCAGATGAAAGAGTATAGATGCATTTTATGATTTTTGAAATTGTCATTTTGTCTAAAATCAAAGAACATCAATCAGGTGACCTGTATTGTTTTTTTTTTCTTTTTGTCATAGATCGTTCTTATAACATTTAAGTGTCCTAATGATTATGAAATTGTGATATTTGGATTATTGGTTTCCTCTCGTCATACTAACTTTAGAGTGTATTTTAACCTTCAATTGTCATTTAGAATTTAGATTGAATCAATATCGTAGTCACTGAATTTAACTTATTAAAATGTTTAGTTTGACTATAAATTTGTTGAGATTGATGAGATTTTGAATTTAATTCTAGAAATTATTACATCTAAAATTAATTAAGATTTGTGCCTAATCAAGTAAATATTTTTGTGACATATCAATTGTCCTTGTATTTTTTTGATGACGAATTTTGTCATCCAAAAATATATTTTACCCTTCAGAATTTCTGAATCTCAAAATTTTAATTTTAATAATATTATAAATTGTGGTTGCTTTCTGGACATTAACGTGAACCTCCCTTGAAGCTATAAACAACCTAAAGGCTCCTCAGTTATAATTTTACGTTCTCTTGAAGTTGGCATGTTGATCAAAGTAAGTACTATTAAAAAAATTGAGCTCTTCAAATTGCTTATAGATTCTCCACTGAACAGTAGAAGTTACAAAATTAAGTTCAAAATATAAAAAGATGGTGAAATACACATGTTAGGGCCTAGGGTGGGCCTAGTTGTTGCCCCCACTAAGTATGATGTGTTCCCCAGGATTTGGGTAAGCATGTGTCAATGTTCACTTAACACATGCATGAACACTCACAACTATGTGCACAGAGGTGCATCTGTGCATGAAAAGATATGTGCATGCATACAGGATTGTACCCACCCGTGCACTAGTTGCTACACACCCATGATTATTATAATACTCAAAATTGTTAACTTTGAATGCCCCTACAAAGAAAAGGAAATTGTAATCCTCTCCATTCTCTTTGCAAGATTTAACATTTTTTTCTTAAAGATACTTGTGATAGTATCGTTAATAGGTGATGTACAATTTTCCTTATATAAGCTTCATTTTTCATCTATATAGAGGTATAACAATATTTTGTAACAGTGGTGCGTATTTCTCTCCCAAGCTCTAGTACTCCTTTATTAAGAGCACAAAAGTATCATGTATTGATGAATTTGAGAGTAATTTTACTAGTATCTATTAGTGGTCATCCTATATTTAATATTCAAATACCAATCAAGTTTCAACAAATTCTTATATGAGATAATAGTTCAGGAAAATTTCAAAGTTTATTAGACATGAAAACGTGATGTCAATAATTACTGACGATTCGTTATAAGCTTTTTAAAAGAAATTCAATTTTCTGAATGACCTGGTAGTTATTTCTCCTTTTTATGTATAACTATTCGTTATAGGTAAGAAAAATCTCACACCTCTCATCTTGCAAGCTCCAACTTATTCTTTTAAAAAAGGTTAAATGTTATTCTACTTAAACAAAATGTGCTTTCATATTATAGGCTCTAGTGCATCTCTACATAGAGCTATCCTTCTAGAGACTTGGTTTGATGGCGATTAATACTCATAATTTTTATGTTGAGGCTCTAATCTTTCCTCAAAAGACGTATTGATTGTTCGCATTGGCTGAACTAAGTTTGGATGTAATCAAGACTTATAGTTATCAAATACTTTGGTCTTCTATTGAAAGAGTTATTTACTCTCTTTTTTATATAGATGGGATTTAAATATAGATGGAATTTAAATTTTCAACTTAATATTAAATCCTTCTAAAGACTTTGTACATAAATTTTATTTGCACTTTTTCAGACTTTTACACTACTTCCTACAATAGTTACAAAAAATACACCCTACCATGAAAAGTTGCAACAACAAATTAAATCACACTGAATCTTTGAAATGTCATGCCAACTTTAAGATGGGTAACATTGAATGTGGCAGGATTGTGCTAGCATCTACATTAGCCCTAAAAAATGAATTGCTCCATCAACATCACAATAGCTTGGTGGATGGAATTGTTTGCCTTTACAAAAGTCTCCATCTTGTAGATGAACAATTCTACTAGCCATAAATGTAAGAAAAAAAATGTCTACACATTTTTCTAGAGTTGCCCAATTTATCCACCCATGAATGAACAAAAAATTTGCAACTATGGTGGTCGTCAACTAAGTAACAAAATTATGCTTACATTGATAAATTGCCCTTGAAGCCAACTACTTTTGTTGCAATTTGAAGTCATCTTCGCATTTTCAATGATGATATTGTTTGATTATGATCACATCTTTATGACCAACTCTTAGAGAGTCCTATTTAAATTGATCAGAACATAACTTGACAAGTTATTACTACTCATCATCTTGAATCCAATGGGCAATCTAAAGATTATCAATCAAGAACTTTTACGATATTTTTGAAAAATTGAACTATGTTTATGTAGTGGTGAAATACTTCTAGAAAACCTCTTTGAACTCCTTCATTGGAATGCCACACTTTAAATTCCATGATTTGTGTTTGTCAAGCTCCTTCCATCAAACCTTAATTCAATTGGACATCTGTAGTTCAAGAAGTTCACTATAATAGCATGATGAGGGTTTGCAAAACCTTTCCACTAGGCTATATTGAGCTTACTGTCCACAAGTACTCATAGATTTGATGATTGTTAAGTGTCAAACATGTATTGCATCAACTCCCTAGACTTTGAAGAACTCATCTTAGAATATTTAAAACCATAATGTTTATTTAGCATATTACTAGAAATCTTTTTCAAGTCCTCTAATGACAACTAAAAGGTATTAATAGCTAGGCAACTCTTATCTTACCATATGTTGT